TGAGTTTGATTTCCCGTGAATATTTAGTTGCCTTTGTTAGAAAATATTTTACCAACATAGAATTTTTCGGAACAAACCTAAATTTAGTCGAACTCCAAATTGAATATTATACATCGGATAGAAAAAAAATTAACATATTAACTAAACAAACATGATTTTTCAAAATGGTAATGTTGAACAGCTAGAAAATTTTACCAGAATTTGACCAGAAATTTAAAAATATTATATTATCTTTTTTATTTAAAATAAACTGTTCTTTTTTTCATTTTTAATTAAAAGATATTAAAGTTTAAAAGGTAAAAGTGTGTAAAAAAAAGAAGGTAAAAACCAACATCGATAAAATACCTTTTTGGCCAAATTCTGCCCAAATTTTCTGGCCAAAAGAATTTTTTCATTTTCATTTTCTAAAATTTTGTGATGGAATATGCTTTTTCCGCGGATTACAAGAGAGCGAGAACTAACATACATTTTATATTTATCGTCAACTTTTTCTTTTATTGTAAAAGATTAGTTCGTACCCTTTCTATATATCTAGAAAATCATGGGATAAGAACTAAACATATAATTAATTGTTCTTTTTTTTATTAATTGAGCGTTACTACTTTTGAAATCTCTCTAAGAAAGCAAGCAACATAGCTTCATTTTTATACAAAAAAAAATTATCTTTATTCTACGTATAATAGATTAGAAATACTATTTTCTGCTATTTTTATATTAGAAATGGTCAAAAAAACCTTAATTCCTGAATTTAATCAGAAAAAAATACATAAAAAAGGATAGAAATTGGGATGTAATGGGCCTTATCATTCTTGATCCGCTCCACCACTTAGGCCCAAATTAGAAAGCAGCCAATCCAAAGAGGCCAGAATAAAATTAGATGGGTGACCTGTTAGCGTATATTTCGATCATGTTGATAAAGCAAAATAATTGAAGTATACATTTACGTAAGTTTCTCTTTTGAGTTTACTATGCAAGTTTAGGCACTCCGAAAAATTATAGGTAAATAGACACATGTTAATGCATACATAAAATTGCGCAAAGGACAAAAATCACATACTTTTAAGGTGAAATTATCATTTGTCCCTATAAGTGTATAATTACAGAAATCTCTCATATTGATACAATAATATAGACATTGATACATTAATCTGATGTGTGAGACAGATTAATCGTTAAGTAAGATACATTATATTTTATACACGATACACTAATCTGATGCGCGAGATACATAAATTTGATGCGCTGATACATTACTCTAATGCGTGAAATCGAGGGATTTCGGGCATTTGTAAAACTAATAGAGGATAATAGTAATAAGAGAACTTTAGGTGGAATTTCTGTCATTTTTCTAATAATAATACGCAGCGATGCAGCTCAACTTTAACGATTATTATATAAGTAACTTTTCTTTTCTTATAAAAAGAAGGAATCTAGAGTGTCCAAGCAACACAGAGTCACACACCCTGAAATTGGTAATAATGAGCCTAATCTTGTTGGATATAGCTTCTTGGGCCGGCCCATTATTAGTGTTCCGGCCCACAAAAGATGTCGAATGAAGCTGAAATGGGCCTAATGTTAGTTGAATGTAACTTCAGCCCACAGTACATATTGAACCAGGATATACATATATTGTTGGAATACTCTGGAATGATGGAAATTAAAACACTAGCTTTATGTATGCGCTCTCTCTCTCTCTCTCTTTCTTCGAAGGCCTCGCCCGGTTCACTGAACTACTGGCTTATCAAGCTCTTCTTGCACATTTGGTAGGACAGGACGCTCGTTTATCTGATTTTTCGCTACTCTCTTGTTACTATAGCCATGAGCGGTTGATATCTCCTACTCACAAGTCACAACCATGGATCGTGATCGATTTTGAATATGAAATAACATATATTTGATAATAAGAGTGTGATAAACAATAAATTGAGAAATTTAAATTAGATTATTTTCAAATTTATTAATGATTTCATTCTTTTTTACATGAACTAGCTAGTAATGAAATAGTGTCATGTAAAATGATTTGAACAAGTAATGTATCAAAATATTATTTCTCGATTCTTAAAATTTTAGTATACAATTGCTAATATAGGATTTTCACTTAAAAGTTTGAAAAATTAACAATGTCATGATGTCTAAGATTTAAACTTGAAATCTCAAAATAAATTTTCTATCTCCTAAAATTTATGTTCTAAAGATTGAATTCAAAAGCTATATATACAAAAAAAAAATGTTAAAAAAACTCATCTTATATATACATAAATATAATATAATTTTTTGTCGAGAAATTTAAGTAAACATCCTCCTCCAAGCATGTATGAGGAGGAAAATCAAATTAATTTGTTTTATTAAAAAATTAGTTTAATATTCTTTGCAACACCAGCAAAACGAAACATTGTAATAATTAAACCGCAAATATCATTAATCCTACTTGCATCATCTCTTTTTAAAGTCTAAGAAGTACATTTTAAAGTCTCATTATTTTACCTCATAAAAACCTCAAGCTAAGCTGGAGTTTATTTAGGAATACAAAAATGTTCAATTAACTATAAGATTCTAACTAATTTGATCTTTGCTGTAATATTTGATTTTTATTTATCAAAGTACTACTTTTTAGATTAAATATTAGAGGTGAGGCTCATATCCAAGGTCAAGTCAATTAAAAAGAGGTTAATGACAGTTTAACTACTGTTAATAACGGCTTTATGACGCCTTGACCCTGTTTGGTCGGTTCTGTAGGGAATAATGTTTTATTGGTCAAGCTACGTTCCACGCATCTCTAGATTATATGAATTAAATTTATTAGAAAAGGTAATCCGCACTAGGCAAGCCTAATGTGACGAGCTCGACTTAGAAGGTAAGCCTTTTGCTTTTGCTGGCAAGGAGTTTCGAACTTGAGACCTCCAATTTAGAAGTTCCAAGCTCAAACCACTGGACCACTTCGAAGGGTTAAATTTATTAAAAGACGTCGTGTATTAATACTTGTTCATTTTAAACTTTGTTCGTCCCCAAAATAGCATATTAATATGAATATTTTAACATAATATTTATATTAATCAATATTTATACTAGGTGTTTAAAAAATAATCTGAAAAATAAGTAATTAATGTTACATTAAAGTATTTCCTTTTTTGGTGTTGTAAAATGAGTAAATAGAATAGTGGATAAGTAAAAGTAAATAGAAAGAATAAAATTTATTTGAAGTTACTTTACCAATATTTTTACTCCCTCCAGTCTATTTTAGTTAGCGCTTATTAAGAATAATTAATTTAAAATAGTTATGGTATTACTTTTCACTAACCTTATTCAATATATGTGGAAAGAGATTAATATAGTAAAGGAAAAAAGTATTAGATTGAAATTAAAGAATATATTAGGACCTTTCGAACTAATATTTTTAATAATGAGAGTGAAAAACAAAATATAGCAAGTAAAATGAATTGGAGGATGTTGATGTTTATATGCCAATTATTAACAATGTTAATCCTTAATTAATCTGCATGGCAACTACTAAGTTGGCTTCATCGTAACTACGTGACAATAAAGATTCTTCTAATTTTTTAGTACGACTAACTATATAAAAAAGCAAAATAATTGCGTTAGGTAGGAAAGAGTTAAAAAAAGAAGAAAACGTTACGTGCTTGTTTCTCGGTGAGCTGATTCGATGATGAAATTGTATTGTATAACGTAATATTTTTTTTGATTCGTAGTAAAAAAATCTATATTTCAAATAATTTTTTAAACTAATTAAACTTTATCCATTTTATCGTATAAAAAAATAAAATTACATTTAATTGATTTAATTTTACCTACTATAATAATAAAGTGACCGAATCTTTCCTGCAATAACAAACTACCAATCAATGTGAATTTAATGTTAAATTATGGGAAATTTAGAAGTTTTTACTTTAATGTGACAAAAAAGTTTAATGAATTTACTGCTATAATGCTATAAAGTATACTAAATTTTAGTTACTGTATATGTCACAAATCAAAAATAGTTTTGTGACTTTACTGTCACATTAAAATAAAGTTCAATAGTTATATACGAAATAAATCTAAATTTTGAGTTAAATATTAAAATTTTCAAAAAATGCAATACGATATGATATTATTTAGGTGATTATTAATCGTCTAATTAAGTAAACTCACTTTACTATTGCAAGCTAATCGTCTAATGAGATAGTGCGTTCAGGAGCGGATCCATCCTTGGCTAAGGGTGTCAAGCCACATTTCTTCGTTGGAAAATTACATAATATATAAAGGTCAAATTTTGATTATATATGTATACATATATAATAATTACCAATACCTATTGTCGCAAGTAAAAGGTTTAGTCCAATAATTAAGGTATTGTAAGAATTTCTTGAAATCGTATAAATGATAATTCTGAATCTGCTAGTGAGTGCGTCTACGGTTTACACAAGATACCATCAACCATGGTATGAGACAAACATCCACAGCCAGTTTTCACACTTTGTTCTGAAAAGTCTGTTTTTTACAAAATTCCTTTTGCTGCCTGTTCTGCCCCTCCAACAAATGGAGTGGGGTTGGGTAAGAATATCAATATGAACAATTCAGTTTATTGATAGGAACTTTTCATCTTTATATAGTAAGAGATTCTTTTACTTGTTTTAAAGACAAATTTTTACAACTAGCATCATGCCATTGTCTCAATATGAGAATGAAATGGAAAGTGACTTTACCTTCATCATCCTTCTGCCACAAATCTCAGGGAATTATCAGATTTTTTTTCCCCCTACTTTTTATGCCTCAAATTATAATTCAGCTTTTCAATTGTTCTTAATTCCTTTTTTCATACCTATATGCTCAAATACTTTCTCATTAGTCCTAATCATTCTACTATTGGCAGCCAGAAAAAAAGTAAATGGTGGGGTAAAAGTAGTATGTACTCCCTCTGTCCGACTTTATAAGTTGATTTGTCACGAATTTTAAAAAAGAAAAAAAAGGTTTTTAAAATTTGTCTATTAGATAAGTATATGTTTTGTGTAACTGTAAATTATTTCATTAAGGATTAAAAAGGAAGTACATCATATAAAATGAGACAGAGGAATAGAGGGAGTAATTGTAATAGTAGACTTTGCTATTGACACAAAACATTTCAAAAAATAATAATATTGATTATAGTAAAATAAATCAAGAACATAGCCTAGGTAATGATCTAGCATTATTATGGCTAGATATTCTTGATTTCAACATCTTTGCCATTTGATTTTGCATTTTCCTACAAGCTTTTTCCAATTCTAGTACTCTCCATTGCATGCCTTGTAAATGTTCTTTGAGCTTCTCATTCTCTGTTGAAAGATCTAGCTTTCCCGCGTATAGCACGATTTGTTGATCTTCATGTCCTGGACTTCCTGTTTCCAGCAAACTACAAGGCGAATCGAGGTATGGACTGGCTTGATTGGTTTCTTGAAGTAAGCTTTTGAGCTTTACTTGCTGAGTTATGAGAGCTTGTCCAGCAGATTTTGAAGGGAACTTTTTGTTACGAGCAAGGTGGCTACAAGCCTCCGATGATAGCTTCTCGTAGCTTAGTCCACTACATACGTTCATCTTTTCCTCTTCGGATAACCCTGAATGAACCTGCAATTTGTCATCGAATGAACCACGTTAACCATTCAGCTAAATATCGAAACAATGCCTAAATTATGTGTTTGTATCAGTCTAAATAAGCATCAAAATGCAAAGAAACGAAAAAAGGCATACCTCGAGATACATAACCGTGGCATGGTATATGGCATCATATGAGTCCCTAGCAGACTCGGGGAGCGACCTGATCAGGGCAAGGAACTTGGAAGGTTTTAGGCATGGATCAGGAGCTACTTCTGCTATGTACAAGTCTATCAAGCTAGCAACTTTCCTCAATCGAGTTAACGGAACACAACATGCCCCTTTGCTGATGAATGATTTCAATAACCTAAGAACTAAATTTACATCATATAAATAACTCGATCCAACAGGTGACGGGAGCAGGAGGTTATCCAAAGTCGCTTGATCCAACTGGGAGCCAATCATGCTCTCTAACTTGTTCCGGGAGAACTTGCTTATCTTCAGAGTTAGAGTAATTCGAAGCATTCCAAACAAGGTTTTGAAGGAAATGCAGCTTGAATCTAGCAAATGAAGCATCTCAATAACAGTCTCCATGGTCTTGCATTTCTCGTCCGCCACTGAAAATCTTGATTTTTGGTAACAGAAGAGGAACTTACTAAGAAGTCCATGGTCAATGTTTTTGGATACCATTTGCTTAACCAAAGTTTCAATCAAAAACGGCTCGAAAGAAGCAAGATCCTCAAACCACCATGTTGCTCGAAATGCACTATTTCTCAAGCTCTCTGTACTTTTCGTATCACAAGACAACCGAAATCCAGAGCTGTCAGCAGAGGAAGTTGACGGACAAGGGCTCGTTTCACACGAAGAAGCAACCCTCCCAATAAGAGAATCCAGGTATTTATCAATTACACCTGAAGAACTTGCCACAGGCATCAAATTTTGACACAATCTTAGAGCATCAAGAAGCTCAGACCAAGTCCAATACCTAACATCTTCGAGCGATTTCTCAGTTAGTTCAAACAGATTTTGGTTCCCTGATACAGATTTCTTCATTTCCATATATGAGGCAGCACAATATAGAGTTGAAACATTAACAGAATTTATCTCAATCTTCCCTTTGCTGTAACAGAATCTTGTAATTAGCTCAAAACTCTCAGCTCCACCAGGAAAGTCATGAAATATCACCTTTAAATATCGTGTCCCTCGTTTCGATTTCCCTATCAGTTTGTTTATTCTCCCTGAATACGAACATATAACCTTCTGCACAAATTTACAAACGAAACTAGCAAATTCAACAAACCAAGAATGATACTCAATAGTTATTCAGGGACCCTCTTAAGTACTATTCAATAAGATTACATTAGTAATCATCATTCAATCACTTTCATAATTTGACATATAAGAACATTATTAAGGGCATTAAATTTAAACCACAAAAAGCAAAAACTTAATTGAATAATGTAAAAAGAATTTCTAAAAGAATGATGACAAGTCGTTATACTAAAATTAAATTGAGGAAAAAAAAGTCTGTGATATACCAGCAAAGTAGGGAAAGCATAGTAGTAATGAGTTTGATTTGAGAGCAACCTTTTTGGGCACTCTAGAAAGATGTGAAAGAAGCAAAATTTGGGCCAAGAACATTTAAACCTCATAATAATAAATGGGAAAAAGACATAAATTTTCTTGTTTCGAAAAGTCAATAACATATTAAAACTATCATGATAACATATTACATATCTAATCTTGTTTAAAGTAACGAGTTCAGAGTAATTTCACGTCATTAATAATAAATGAGCGGAAACATAAAAAAAAAAGTGGCGGTGATTTTACAAATCATATTGGAGAAATAGTACTACAAACTTAGCCCCACACATGAACAATGTAGGTACAAAATTTAATTGTGTGAAAAAAAATAAGTAGCAAAAGTTAAGAACAATAATGTAGAGAGAGTTGAAAGACAAAAAAGAAACATATAGAACAATGATCATAAACTTGACAATAGCACAAAATGGAGCTAGACAAACTCAAACACTATATTGCTCGAATCTTCAAAAATATCGACAAAATACATGTCTAATTCTACAAAATTAGTGTACTTTTAGAAGATTCATTATAGGTATGACAACATTTTTGAAGAGTACGAACAACTATTGAAAAAAAAGAGAGAGCACAATTTAGCATACAGAAATTGGACAAAATAGAGAGGAACCAAGAAGAGAGAATTAGAAATGGAACAGAATCAACAAATTGAACAAACAAACAAAACAAGAAAGATTGAGAACAAAGGTTGTTGTTTCTTTTACCTTATCTACCATAAAGACTTGTTCACCATTGACATCCACTTGAAGATCACAAGAAACATCCATTAGAGTCAAATTAAGAGTCCCTTTTTAGGATTTAGTTGAATAAAAAACTAATGTTGGAAAATACCCACATAGATTTGAGAAGAAAACAAGAAGTTATTCTGAAATAAGCATAAAGACAAATGAAAAAAGATGTATTCTTGATAATACAAACTGAGAATAATAATAAAAACTCAAGAGAGACAAGAGTATGGGTGAAGCAAAGAAGGGGGACAGAGTTAAATACAAATACACATAATAATAAAAGGGGAAAAAATATATATACTTTCACTGTGAAGAGTAAGAGAGAAAAATGGTAAGACAAAGAGAGTTGTTGACTGCCCACTAATCTGTATCTGACATTCCTATAAAAATAATACGAGTCAATTTCAGATAAACATATGCTAAATCAATAGCCCCCACACTGTCAAACTTATATTATATATCAACTATTTTATGCCATTTTTTTGTATCACAAATATTTAATATTTAATAGTATTTGTGATGTGGTAAACTCGATGAGATTTTTTTTAATTGTAGACCTTAAAATTATCGGCAAAAAAGTTTTTACTAAATGAAGTCATATAAAATATGAATTTATAATAGTCAGACTCACTAACACAAAATGAAACCAAAAAATGTTACTTCCATGAGCAGTCACTCACAACATCCTTATGTATATATTATAATAAAATTAAAATAAAGTATTATTTTAAAATTATTTTCTTGGTATCAAAACAAATATTGTTTTACCAAAGTAACTAGTAACTATTTTCAACTATGTTTTTATGTTAAAGATTTTTTTTCTTAACAGTGCTCAACTCTCAAATAAACATCTGATAAATAGTTTCAATTTAGTAAATGATATCCTTACATTTAAACGGACTAAAAAGAGCTATTATTTATTCCTTTTAATTTGTTTTAATTTGACATAAAAATTTTAAAAAAATATTTTCTGAATTTTATATTTAAAAGATATATGAAATATATCATTTAATCTAATGATTTTATAGAATATTTAAAAAGTTAGAATTAAAAATTTAATTATTTTAATTAAAATAAATAAATAGAATAATTAATAACATTTATTTTAAAACGAAGAAAGTACAAATACAATTGGTAACAACCATTGAAACAAGGTGCAGTTTCCTTCCGGATCAGTCACTCTATTAATTAAATTTCTCTCTGCCGTATAACATAAGTTGACGCTGTTTTATTTTATTAAAAATATATATAATGACATATTTGCCACTGCAAAAGCACCTTTTCTTGATATTTTTTATTTTTATTTTGTCTGTTACATTATCTTTTGCATATTTTCAGTTTTGAGCATGATCAAAGCTTTTGCTTTTTCTCTTGTTTGTGGAAAAGAACAATTTATGTTTTCAAGATCAACAACAATGCAATATTTTTCTGTTAAAAAAATAAGTAAAAATAGTAGCAATGTTTAAAAAAGTATACATAAAAAGGAATTTTAATTATATATACTAGAGTATTAATTATGTGTTTTTGCTAGAAGCGTTCTAAAATACCTTTCTGAATTTTTCATTTTAGATTTAGAAAAAGAGTAAAAATTGAAAAATTCAATTTTATTTTTTTCATGTTTTGTTTGTCATTTTTGAAAAATATTCTAATAAAAAAGATTTTCATGTCTTGTTTGTCATCCTACAAGATCAGAATACTTTTAAAATAGTATTTTTTTTCTCTTACATTATTAAATAAAATAAAAACTAATAAACGCACTTATTTTATATATGCAAGTTTTGGATCAAAGGATAATAACATCTTGTTGAAGTATGTAACATTTCTATTGTGTAACCATCTCTTCAATATAAAGGTACTAAAAGTTTTTAATGATTTCAACTTTTTTTGGTAAAATGATTTCAACTTGATTAGTTCAAAAAATTATTTGAAATCTTTATCACTTTCTTTTGCTTTTTTGATTTACTTTCTCAGTAGTCAGTACACATTGATGCTTTTTTGTATTTAGACTTCCAAGTATAAGCTTTAAAGTGGAAATTCAATTTGTATTACCTTCCGTCATCCCATGCATGTTGTTCAAGTTTTGAATATGCAATATGTCAACTTTGTACCTAAGGTTTTACCAAAGCATAAACTAATATTTATATTCTCTAATTTTAAATATACATTAATAAACAATTATAGTTGTGGAGCTATAGGGATATTATTCGTAACATTTAAAAGATATATATTTAAAATTAAACATCTCGAACAACTCAAAATAAGTAGTTCCGCGTTAGAACCCTATAGCACAATGCATTTTTTGTTTTATCTTGACAGTAGTCAGCAGATCACTTATACGCATACCATCGTTTATTCTTGGATACTGCTGATAAAAGTTTTGGTTCCACCACAAGATACTTAAACTTATATAAATTTAAATAAATAGATACATGTGTTCTATGAGGCAAATACAAATAATTTTGAATGTATCTTAGGAGAATTTTCACGTAGATCTAATGTATGTGTGTCTACTTGACGTTCAATTTTAAACAAGTTTAAATACATACTTGTGTACCCTAAAAATCGGAGCCAAGGACATACATAAATATCAATTTATCATGAGATCAAGTTAAGAACACGTTTATATATTATGTCTTCTACTAATTCCTTTATTTATTTTGCTTAACTATAGCTGACTTTACAAATTCTTAAGAAAACTTTTAGTACATGCATTTTTTCTAAAATAACCTCATTAATAATAATGCAAGTGAAGTCTAAATTTGACTATTACTATTTTACATAGTTATTTAATATTTTTTTTAAAAAAATAACCTTTGTATATATATATGTGATATATATAGTTATTTAATTTATTTATTTATTGTTTAAAAATAACCTTTGTATATATATATATATGTGATATGATATGTCCAGGAGACAACTTGAATGTTGAATTCTACAACATTCGAAGATTATTGAATTTCTTATTATCATTAAGACGATTCCAATAATGTTTGTTATGCATGTGTTTTCAATTAATGTAATCAAATGTCATTTCACTTTCTTTCGAGAAACATGTGTCGCATATACTTTGACTCATAAAATATAATGTTTGTTATAATTAATTAATTATATTCAAGTAGTTGTTGGTCCGTTTTAGAAGATATTAATGCTTTTATGAATATGCAGATGAGACATGTTTAAACATAATTTATTTTTAAAAAAATTTTATTTAGTGGAAATATAAAAACTTGCTTGTTTTAAGAATTTCATATATTTATAATTAATTAATACCCGTACTTAATCAATATAGTTTTTTAGTTCGTAAACAACACTTAATTATCTAAATAAGGAATTTAGAAGGAAGAAAACACCATATTTTTCGTTACGTAAATAAAAAAAATATTTATTTAAACATATAAAAATCTAAAATATAAACTTTCGTCACGGGAAATTTGAGAGGTTAAGTCCTCTGTTGGGTTCGAAATATACACAACTCCCCGCACTATGATGTACTAATAACTTTCAGAAAGTTTAAGGACTTAAGTCAAAATTATTATATATTAAATTCATATATTTTTAATTTTTTAATTAAAGTAAAATAATGCATTGGAATTTTGTCACGATCCAAAACGAGCCGCGAGTGACACCCACACTTTCCTTCCTATGTGAGCGAACCAACCAATCTAAACCCCAACATTTCAACCATAATAAACAGAATACAATGCGGAAGACTTAAAACTCATTAATATAACCAATAAATAACTTCTAAAATTCAAAACTTATTATTATCCCCAAAATCTGGAAGTCATCATCACAAGAACATCTATCCTCAAATTACTAAGTCTAAGAGTATCTAAGAAGCTAAAATAACTAAACAGATAGTCCATGTCAGAATTTCAAGGCATCAAGACGTGAAGAAGAAGATCCAGTCCAAGCTAGAAACAATAGCTCACCCTGAAATCTGACGTGATGAAGACTGGCTAGAGTTGCGGTTGAGTTGAAGACGACGGCACGTTTGCTGCACTCCACAATTTAACAAAAGGAAAACATACAAGTAGGGGTCAGTACAAAACACGAGTACTGAGTAGATATCATCGGTCAACTCAAAATAGAAAGCAATATTTATTAGATAATATCATAAAATCAACTACAATACTCAACAGGTAGCAACCACAAGTACAAGAATCATTGATAATAACACCAAGTACACCCACGAGGACACAAGCCTCCATACCATACTCATTTGGGAAATAGGTTCATTGAATTGAGTACATTAACATCATTCAAGATTCATTCATTTTACTATCCTGGTGTCGGAACGTGACACTCCGATCCCCCCAATACTACGTGTCGGTTCGTGACACTCGATCCCCCTAATACTACGTGTTGGTTCATGACACCCGATCCCCCTAATACTACGTGTCGGTTCGTGACACCCGATCCATTAATACTACGTGTCGGTTCGTGACACCCGATCCCCTAATCTCATTCTTTTAGTTCATCAAGCCTTCTTTTATATCAAGACATCATCATTAACAAAGAGGGTTTTAGGTTTAAGCTTCACAACCTTATCTTTCCAACCCATTACAATTTCATAATCACATCATGCAAGCACACCATTAAGCATATAGAAGACTTTACAATACTACCCAACACATATTATTCGCTATTAAGAGTTTACTATGAAATAGCATAAAAACCATAACCTACCTCCACCGAAAAATTCGCGATCAAGCAAGCTATCCCCCAAAACCTTTGCTTTCCTCTTCGTTTCTCTCTTCTCTCGATCGTTCTCCCTCTCTTTCTCTTCTTCTGATTTTTCCTTATTCAAACTCTTTTTCTTTTACCCTAATTACCATATAATTAAGTATAAAGGTGACCAAAGTAACCTACTAATTAATTCAAGGTTATCTCCTTTAACCCCCAAGTAATTGAATTATTAACAT